GTCCCTTAGGTGATCATAATGGTGTTTAGTACTTTTTGAATCCTTTTGAATAACAAAGAAATAAAAACAATACAATTTATCAGACTTTTTATGGACAATCGTGAAGACCAAATTTCACAATAGTCACTGACACTTATAGTCCCTGATAAAATTTTGCTACGCAATTCTGGGATTTTTACTGACTTTCATCAGTTTAGACCCATATGATGTTGAGAACAAATGAAACTCCAGGGTTGGCACTAGAGGGCGCACTAGCTTTTTTTGCAGGCTGCAACCACTCTCAGTAAATGCGATGACCACTGTACATGTGTCCAATATGGTTTTGGTTTACTAGCTGATTAGAAACAGGCAATTGTTTTCTCTCACTGCATACAATTGTTGTCTCTGCAAAATGCAGTACTGTTGGATGTGGCAGTAGAATTTTTCTACATATTTTATTTGATGTGTCAGAATACATTATTTTGTAATAGTGTTGTATGGCACCTGATCACTGCGTATTGATTTGATCAAAAGTAATGCGTGTAGTTGGTGTATCTCAAAATGGTGGAATTAATGATGTTAAGTCAATTGCGAAAACTCCCTGATTTCTTTGACACTTTAATACTATGACGTTATTACGAGGATACCGAAAAGTATGCACGAAGACAGTGCAGCGGTAATATCGACCAACGCGCATCAGAGTATATACTTTGCGGTATCCTCGTAATAACCTTATCATTATACATCTTTTCCTCCCAATGGTAAATCATGAGAATGTCGAAATCCAAAAAGTTTAGAACAGAATCAGCGAATCATTCCATATTTGGAATTCGCCTTTCCTAATATGGTAGGATAAAAATGCACCATAAAATACCGCAAAATTACGGCATGCTGTAATTTATGTAATTTAATTTACAGTGACATTTGTATAATAATGTTATTTAATAAGTTTAAATTAGAAGTTGACAAATTATTGCATTCTGATTATTAGTAGAAACACAATTTCACATCAGATAAAATGAAGCCAAATTGCTCACTTCTCTCTCATCACTCTCTCATTACTACAGCGGTCTGAAGAGAAAGAGTTGCCAAGGTTACCAACCTTACCTACATTACCACAGACAGCAAGACCAGTCAAACCATGGTAAGTATGATGATGATAGTCCGTAGTTATCCAATGACAATCCAATGTCCTCTGTTCATGTTGTATTGCATTCTGGATTCTGACCAAATTTGGGGTAATATACATAATGTGATATTAAAAGACTTTGGTATGTTTCTTTAATCTCAGGGACAGTGCTGAGCGTCTCCAACATGATACAATTGAATTAGACGAGAGTACGGTGAGACAAATGACGAGACGATCTGTTGCAACTATATGTGCACATGCTGGATTTGAGAGTAAGTCTAACATGCATGTATTGAAGAGTAAACTAGGGAGTTACTGGATACTTTAAAGACTCTACTAGGGGGCTAATGGGTATTTCATAGAGGCTGCTAGGGGTTAGTGGGTATTTCAAAAAGTCAGCTAGGGTGTTAGTGGGTGTTTCAAAAAGTCAGCTAGGGTGTTAGTGGGTGTTTCAAAAATTCAGCTAGGGTGTTAGTGGGTGTTTCAAATAGTCAGCTAGGGGTTAGTGTGTATTTCAAATAGTCAGCTAGGGGGTTAGTGGGTATTTCAAATAGTCAGCTAGGGTGTTAGTGGGTGTTTCAAAAATTCAGCTAGGGTGTTAGTGGGTATTTCAAAAAGTCAGCTAGGGTGTTAGTGGGTGTTTCAAAAGTTCAGCTAGGGTGTTAGTGGGTGTTTCAAAAATTCAGCTAGGGTGTTAGTGGGTGTTTCAAATAGTCAGCTAGGGGGTTAGTGGGTATTTCAAATAGTCAGCTAGGGGGTTAGTGGGTATTTCAAAAAGTCAGCTAGGGTGTTAGTGGGTGTTTCAAAAATTCAGCTAGGGTGTTAGTGGGTGTTTCAAAAATTCAGCTAGGGTGTTAGTGGGTGTTTCAAATAGTCAGCTAGGGGGTTAGTGGGTATTTCAAATAGTCAGCTAGGGGGTTAGTGGGTGTTTCAAAAAGTCAGCTAGGGTGTTAGTGGGTGTTTCAAAAATTCAGCTAGGGTGTTAGTGGGTGTTTCAAAAATTCAGCTAGGGTGTTAGTGGGTGTTTCAAATAGTCAGCTAGGGGGTTAGTGGGTATTTCCAAGCGACAGCAAGTTAGTATTTAAAAGTACAGATGGGGAGGGAGGGGGGTTATTTCATTAAACCTGCTAAGGTTATGTTGATATTTAACACTTTTATTAGAATCAAGTCTAAAAATATATGTTATTTTAGATTGTCAGGAATCGGTTCTAGAAACCCTGACAGATGTATTGACCGACTACAACCAGAAAATATGCAAATTACTGCGAGTAGCTGTGGACAGGGAAGCTAGAACGGGTACAACAGGATTTCAAGTAAGTATTGTTATGCAAATTAGATACATTGCTATGCAAATTATTGAGAGTAGCTTTGTACAGATAAGCTAGAACGGGTACAACAGGATTTCAGGTTAGTATTGTTACGCGAATTAGGTGCATTGCTATGCAAATTATTGAGAGTAGCTGTGGACAGATAAGCTAAAATGGGTATGAGAGGATTACAGTTAAGTAGTGTTATGCAAATTAGGTACATTGTTATGAAAATTATTGAGAGTAGCTGTGTACAAATAAGCTAGAACGGGTACAACAGGATTTCAGGTTAGTATTGTTATGCGAATTAGGTGCATTGCTATGCAAATTATTGAGAGTAGCTGTGTACAGATAAGCTAGAACGGGTACAACAGCATTTCAGGTTAGTATTTTTACGCGAATTAGGTGCATTGCTATGCAAATTATTGAGAGTAGCTGTGGACAGATAAGCTAAAATGGGTACAACAGGATTTCAGGTTAGTATTGTTACGCGACTTAGGTGCATTGCTATGCAAATTATTGAGAGTAGCTGTGGACAGATAAGCTAAAATGGGTATGAGAGGATTTCAGTTAAGTAGTGTTATGCAAATTAGGTGCATTGCTATGCAAATTATTGAGAGTAGCTGTGTACAGATAAGCTAGAACGGGTACAACAGGATTTCAGGTTAGTATTGTTATGCAAATTAGGTACAGAAAATATGCAAATTACTGCGAGTAGCTGTGTACAGCGAATCTAGAACGAGTACAACAGGATTTCAAGTTAGTATTGTTATGCAAATTAGGTACATTGTTATGACAATTATTGAGTAGCTGTGTACAGAGAAGCTAGAATAGGTATGAGAGGATTTTAGGTAAGTAATGTTATGCAAATTAGGTACAGAAAATATGCAAATTACTGCGAGTAGCTGTATTAAGTCAGTATTGTTATGCGAATAGGTACATTGTTATGAAAATTATTGAGTAGCTTTGTACAGAGAAGCTGGAATAGGTATG